AGAAACTGCCCTAAGTTCTTTTCTCCTGTGGGTATACTTGAATTTCCAAGTGTCATTTTGTTCAAGAGGAAAAATTTCTTTTAGGCAAAACAAAGGTTTAAAAGCCCACTTAGTCTAAGTATTCTTTGGAATCTGCGATCTGTGATGCTCTCTTCTCAGCACTTGTTAGACTACTCCAGGAAGAGTTCAGGCAGCCGGTAATCCTATTCCTCCTGCTAGGGATGGTGTTACCATGACAGTGTCTCATGGATGTTTTCGATAAAATAGCGGGGATCCCTTCAGGAGTGGCTAGAGTGGCTCAGAGTTCAGAAATAGAAATCACAGCTCTCGCCTTCCTCCCAAGTGGTTACATCACTTAGGGCTACTGAGCCACATCCTGGCTGTCTAAAATTGTCCTAGCCTGAAACTCAGGAGTAGCCTCTTTGTTCTGGATTGGCCAGGCTAGGCTACTGTGGCTACAAATATATATATGTATTTTTGACTTGGGGAAGTATTTGATTCATATGAATGAATAGTTAACTGACTGTTGTATCAATAATTGTTGTATAGATGGCAATATTGGAGTCATGTGATTTTAGTTTATAGATGAGTATCTATTGTCCACATCACACAGATAAACTTTCTGGGGGAAACAGCAAGTAGAAAAGAAGCAAGGATCATACCCTTAACCACTGGAAATCAGTCTCTGCCAGATTTCCAGTCAGTGATATGAGAAAGTGATCCTATTCAGGATGTCATTTACCTTTAAAGCCTTCTGTGTGTTTCTTCTCAGGAGTTGGTCAAGGTCACACATATGTCAAATTCCAGCTACTTTGCTGTTTTTCTTTAAATTAGGGAAAAGCATTACTTGGAGTTGGAATTGTGAAGTTGAAGAATCTATGTGTTTCTGATTTTAGGATGCTTTTTTTTAAAAAAGATTGAATTTATTTGAGAGGCAGAGAGAGAGCTCTTCCATCTACTGGTTCACTCATCAAACACCCACAATGGCCAGGACTGAACCATACAACAGTCAAGAGATGGAAACTCAGTCCTGGACTCTCATATGGTTGTGGGAATCCAAATACTTGAGCCTTCCCCACTGCCTCACTGAGTGCATTGGCAGAAAGTTAGAGTCAGAAGCTGGAGCTGCGTATTGAGTCGAGGCACTTTGATGTGGGATGTTGGTGTCTTCACCACTGGGCCAAATACTCACCCCTAGGATGCTTCTAAGAGGTTTTATAACACTATGTACTTACAAGCAATTACAAGAAAATTGAAAATTGTTTTGGAAAGAGGCAGCCCAAATATCAATAGCTATTTCTGAATTTTTAGTGGCATACACAAGCAATTTCCACAGTCCTTGCCTGCTCATGTGTCAAAGAAAGCAACTTGCAATATTCAAAGAAAAGCAAAGAAGCGGAAATCCAATTTTATTGTATTAAGAGTAACTACTTTCACAACAAGTTAATGAAAAAAATGTTTCCCAAGCATACTGGGGTCTTTGGTCCAAATAGGTTTTGCTTCGTATTTGGCACAGGTCTGCAATAGGATTCTAGGTGAACAGAGAAAGCAAATAAGTGTGACCTTTGTAGGGCTGGTATTTTATTTTAACGAAGCCAAAAGTGCATAAGTACACAAATATTAGCCTGCTCTTACTCTTATCCCAGGAAGCTTCTCTGGTTGACAGTATTTCTGTGTTCGATTGTTGGCATTCTTGCTTCTCATCTTGGTTCCCTGCAGGCGTTGCCATCTGTTTAACTGGTAGAGGGTCCCCTGTCAACAGTGTCTCTATCGTCCAGTTGGAAACATAGCCCTCTAGTAGGCTGCTGCTGCTGCTTCTCTCTGGCCCCTGTTTATTTGGAACCAGTTTCAGTGTGTTGGAGCAGGTGGCTTTACCTTAGTCAGATGAGCAATTACTGGAAGGTAAAAGTGCTGCAGTGAAGGGTGGAGCATCTGCTCTTGACAGTGATCTTGGCATTGGAGAGAGCCTTGGGGCTTGGCGAAAGTCTAATTCATGAAGGTGAGGCTGTCCCTTGGGGGCAGGGTGCTCTTTCTTTGCCTCTCACCATCTTAAGTGCTTGAACACTTTCAGGCTTAATGCTTTGATCTTTATTAATATTAATAAGACCCCACTGTTACTATCTGTCCAGCAATAAGCCAGACCCCTTCCTTTTCCTGTGATTCTTGGCCTGACAATTTTACAGTCACTTCCACCTTCATTAGTTGCCTAATTCATACCTTTGGAAATTGTAGCTTCTAAACAATCAGCTCCTGCGCATATGTAAGGTTTTGAAGTTTTCTCCAGTCCATTCCCTGTTCAGGTCATGACTCATTACCTATAGCTTGGGGAATTTTGAGGAATTGCCAGGTCAGGTATTTTCTAATCTCAAAACAGACAGAAGCCCCCAGGTTAAAAAAAAAAAAAAAAGTGGCCATTGCAATGTCTCCTTTTCTTAACAAGTATGCTATAGTAGTCAGACAAGGAGGGGTGGGGCTCAAAGAAACAGTCACTTGCAAATATCTCCAGTTTAATGGGCTAGTTTCTTCCTTTTCTCTGTTTAATTCATGGATTTTCTATTATTTTGACTGTCCTTTGGCATTACACATTTGTGTTTTATTTTATTCAATACTTTGACATCTTATGAGGGTACTTCAAAAAGTCCAGGAAAAATGGAATTAAAAGATAAGGTTATTTTGTTGCAGAAGGTTTTTGAAATCCGTTTCTAGAAGGGCTCTTCAGAGTAGTTTATGAAAATGCATACTATGGGAAAAACTGTTTAGCCCTTAGGATGTTTTTCACTAAATAAGCTTATAGTTTAATCCCATTTTCCTGAAACTTTTTAAAGTATACTTGTCAGAAATATTCTACTGTTAGTTGCCCCAAATCATTTTATTGAAAATAAAAATGGTCTTTATACGTAAGCCCTTCTTTACATTTGTCAGAATTTTAATTATTAAAATGACTTTCTGACTGCTTTTTAATTATTAATAGCTATCTGAAATACTTTCTTGGAAACAATGTAGTTTAGCTGTTAACACCGAGTTTTTGGATTCAGACGCCTGGTTTTAAACCCTGGGAGTCCACAGATGAATCAGTAGGTGATTTTCATGGGCAAGGTGCTTATTATTTTTGAGCCTCAAGTTACTCTCCCACAGTAATATTATGAGGACTAAATAAGTTTATATATAAACATGCATACATATGCCTTATCCGTCTTACAGCTTTACTAATGTGTCCAATTTTATTACCCAAACGATAATATGAGGTGTAAAATAAATACTCTGTAAATGCTGGCCGCCACTATTACTGTTTACTTTGGTTATCATAACCATCCTCGGATAGCTATAATCTTCACTTACAGGTGAGGTAACCAAAGGCAAAGGCAGTTCTTTAACCTTCCCAAGGTCATGCAGCAGGGGAACAGGCACCGCCAAGCTTTGCACCCCGCTTCATCCTGCCACCCACCGTGCCTGTCACAACCACTTTTGGCAGCAGAGTTAAATAGATGTGGTTGAATTGTTCAGAAAATCACACTTGCATCCATCCATATAGATTCATTTCCTGTTTTTTCTTTTCTCTTAAGTAGCTACATTTCACAGTGATAGCAAACATATGCTATTGGATTACTCAGATTTCTTAGCATATGTCTATTGTCAGTCTTCTTCTTCGAGAGACTTTAAGGAAGCAAGAAGACATGGTTTATTTCTTGACTTCAATATTTTTCCTCCAAGAAGAGCCCTCCTGTGCGGTGTGTGTGTGTGTGGGGGGGTGCTCTTCTGCCTATAGCATGATGCATATGGCACATAGCTGTTAAATGGAATAATGTCAATGCTCCTTGCCAGATACTTCTCAAAGGTCTGAGTTTTTGTCCAGTGGAAGAATCTTCGGGTAAAATAGATGATGAGTTTTTCAGTGGCTCATTGGCGTGGGGGTAGTGGTGTAACAGTTAAGATTCTGCTTGCCATGCCTGCGTGCCCTATCAGTGTGCCTGCATAATTGAGTCCTTGCTCTGCTTCCCACTGAGCTTCCTGGCTAATGCCCTCTGGGAGGCAGTGGCTGATGGCTCAGGTATACTTGGGTGCCTACCCCCCATATGGGATAACAGAGAGTTTCTGGCTCCTGGCTTCAGCCTAGCCCAGCCCATGTTTTTGTGGGCATTCAGGGAGTGAAACAGCAGTTGGAAAATCTCTCTCCCTCTTGTGTGTGTCTGTGTGACTCTGTCTTTCAAATAAATAAAAATAAATAAAATAATGTAAATGGCTCATTGACCATTTTTCAGAAATTTCACATATGTCGAATGTGCTCTGAGTAAATGCACTTACACATGTGAAGGAATCCAGCAACCACAAGGGGCTTTTGCTCCTTTTAAAGGGCGCAGGGATGAAATTGGGGGAGGGAGGAGCTGGTGCTGGATGAGAGCCTGGGTGTTCTGAGCCGGAGCAAGTCCTGGAGTTTGTTTTCATATCATTTTCCCAAATAACTATGTCCCTCCCTACCCCTGACGTCATTCTGCCCCTCACTCTTCAAGATAGTCCTTTGTACAAGTGCATACATAACTACACACAAATCTTGAGTCCCTTTACGTGTGTTTTTGCCTTTCTGTGCTTACTAGTTAGGCCAGGAGACCTGGTAGGGCATCCTCTTCTCATTCTTCTGATCCCTGGAGATGAGCCTGCTGCAGATAGCAGACTGCCCAGCCCATTGTGGAGCTCTGTGTAGAAACGGTTTTCATTTCTGGAATTGATCATTGCCTAACAGAAAACTGTTTCTCATGGCTTTTTCCTCTATTAAACCCATCAGCATCTTTCAGATGCAAGAGATAGTACTGAATGAATGACTGCAAATTGCATCTAGAATGAAAGGGAGAAGGCAGTCCTTAATCCTTGATAGCCTTTGATCCTATTTTAATGTGGAGACTTTTAAAATACACCTTTAGGGGTTTGCGGATGGGGATGGTTGTTACTGAATCTTTTGTTGTGGAGTTTGGGCTAATGTAGTAATTTGACATTTTTCCTTTCAGCTGTCCCATTTCCTCCAAGTCACCGGCTCACAGCAAAGGAAGTGTTTGATAATGATGGGAAACCTCGTGTGGATATCTTAAAAGCACATCTCATGAAGGAGGGCAGACTGGAAGAGAGTGTTGCGTTGAGAATAATAACAGAAGGCGCTTCAATTCTTCGACAGGAAAAAAACTTGCTGGATATTGATGCGCCGGTCACAGGTAAGTCCTGAGGATGCAGACTTGGGTGCCTGCCTGCCACGTGGGAGACTGGAGGGAGTTCCTGGCTCCCTTGTGCCTGAACTTTCTTGTTTATAACATCAGATCTAAGGTCCTGACTACCACTGGGTCTTCAAGTACCTTACTCACTGTGCTCCTTTACTGTTAAATCTGTACATTAAGGGACTAAGGATATTGTATGTATGTAGACTATTTTTATTTTCATGTGTTCAATGTCTGCAAGATTGGGGTGCTATTAAAAGTGAGGGGCAACTTCAAGATAATGAAGATGATGAAGATATTTGGTGTAATTCTTAATTAAGAAGTGATGTTGTTTGTCATTGCAAACACTAACTGGCAGAAAAAACACAGGCTATTCACTGGGAAGGCTGAAGTGTCCTAAGACTTTCACAGTGGTTGAGGAAGTGGTTGAGTTAATTTACTGGTTCTCGATATGTGATCCCCAGACTGTCATCATCATTACATCCTCCTCATCATCTTCACCTGGGAACTTGTTAAAATCTGAATTTCCAGGCCCCATTCTAGAACTGAGTAAGGCCCCATAATCTGTGTTGACTTGTCAAGTGTTCTAGATGATTCTCATAAAATTTGGGAAATATTGAACTTCAGGACAAAAGCCAAATTTCTCACTTTTGTTCCTAGAAGACAAATATTTACATTCTGAATGTTTTTGTCCTGTTGCTTTGCATGGGCAGGTACGAATTTTGTTCAAGTATGCTTAATGGAAAATAGAGTAGCTCATACTAGAGATTTTTGATCTATCTACCCTTTGTGGAGTTTGCTAAACTTGGCAGGCTTTCATTTTTAGAGAACCTAATAATTTTCATTTTCCCCTTACATATTTTCATCCTGGCAAAGGGAAAACATCTAGATATCATATGTCTCTTTTTGGAATAAGAGAAATATTTAAAACTATCTCATGCATTTTAGTGATTATCTCTTTTTTTCCATTCTGCATGTTCTTATAATATTATTGGTCTTCAAACACATATGTGAATGTGATTGTTCTTTCTTGAACATCAGGCTTATACCTTCCTTGATGGAAATGCCCCCTAAAGATTCCTACTCCAAAGAAATTGACATAATTTACATTTTATTTTTGGTTGACAAGGTGATCTTCTTGCTTGTTCCAAATTCAGAAAGTATAGTGAGGGTGGGTTGAGTCAGGCAGCAGGAGGAATTGGCTGCAGTTGTATCAAGTCTGTATTGACAATGGTACGTGAATCAGGCCGTGGACTTACCTGGTGTCTGTGTGTGTGTGTGTGTTAGTTACTGTCAGGAGTCCTCATTAAGTTCATGGAAAAATGTGTATTATAAAAATATTTTCAATGAATTTTAGGTTTTTTTGCACCAAAAGAAACTTGACTTTTAGCTTCGTTTCCCATGAACTTTCTGAAGTACCCTTGTGTGAATCTTGTTTTCATCTAATACAGTGGAGTCATGCATTGTTATCTGCAGGTCACAGAAGCCATGAAAATACAATACAGAGCAACAGTGGACAGGCTTTACTTTCCTATATATTAAAACCCAAAAATTTCAGTATCTGAATACTGTTCCGAATCCACCACCAACAAAAAAAGTGTTTTTTTTTTATTTTGACTATGAATTCTACCTAACGTATTAGCTGTATATATCATTTAGCTTATTTGTTTTTGATAATAATGAATTGCATGCTGTTGAGTTCTTTTTCTCCCATTACATGTGATAATTTGTGAATTCTGATGAATAATTCATGTGAAAATCATGAATGAACCCAGGAAGTATTAATAGAGTTGAAAAAAAAACATGGCAAATGGATATTTAGGGTGAGGTATTTTCTGGGGTGGCCTGATCACTTCCTCTGTTGCTAGCCTCTGTCCTGGAAGAACACAAAGAGAAGATTTTAGAAGAGTCAAATTCACAATATCTTTTCCCTGAACCCTGGGCCTTTCTGCAGTACATTTGCCCTCTCATTCAGAGGCCACACCTAATTCTTCCACCTGGCTCAGATAGCGGCTGATAGTTTGACAAATTTCACAAACTAGATATGAAGATACTTTAAAAATCAGGACTCAATGAAGTATCACTTTCCATGAGAGAGAAGAAAAGCCTTTTAGGTAGTGCAAGAGTAGCTTTTGGAGACGTCACAGAATATGTCGCTCTGAAGCACAACTGGAATCTAACTCAAGGGAAAACCTTTCTTTAGAAGAGTATTCACATCTCGTGATAAAGGAAAGATTCTACAGAGCTTCTAGCAGATTACATCTGAGTGGTCTCTCCACTCTCCCGCACCTCCTTTTTCTGAGAGTATTAGAATATGGAATAATAGTGGCAGAGGCCAGTAAAAATCTTTTGCGCAGTGGATAAAAGGGAGAATACATTTTTATGTATCTCATTCTCCAGCAAGTTAATGTTATAGTCCTTTATGGCTGCAATAAAAAAAATGCCATTAACCTAGTGGTTTATAAACAATAGAAATTTATATATTTAGGAGAGTCTGAGAGGTCTGAAATTAAAGACCAGCAAGTCTAGTGTTCTCAGATGGAGCTTCCATCTGTGTCTGTACGTGGAAGAAGGGGAAGACACCTCTCTGTGCACTTTTTGATAAGGCCAATAGTCCTGCTTATAAGGGCTGCACCCTTCTGATATCTGAAACTCTCAGTGAGATCCCAGTCAAAACAAGGGAGCCATGATAGAAGCTCTGCTGTTTGCTCTAGACTAACCTGACTGATTAAAACGGTAGATTTCCAGATATTTAGCTTGAAAATTGTATTTCTGTGTTGCAGGCATTTTGTGAAAATAGTTTCTCACTTTCACTTTTTCTGAAAACTGAGTTGAATATATCTTTGTTTACTAGAAAACATACAAATGAAATATATTTTTCTATTTTTCTTAAAGATTTATTTTATTTATTTCAAAGGCAGAATTAGAGAGAGAGAAAGAGACAGAGAGGCAGAGAAAGAGAGATATCTTCCATCTACTGGTTCATCCCCAAAATGGCCACATTGGCCAGGGCTGGGCCAGGCTGAAGCCAGGAGCCAGGAGCTTCCTCTGGGTGTTCCACATGTGTGCAGGGACCCAAGTACTTGAGCCATCCTCTGCTGCTTTCCCAGGCACATGAGCCACAAGTGGGATCAGAAGTGGAGCAGCCAGTACTTGAACCAGCACCACATGGGATGCCAACATCGTGGGTGGCAGCTTTCCCCACTATGCCACATTGCTGACCCCGTGAAATATTTTTTTAAAAGTTTCCAAATATTAATATAGCTATGCATTTTGACAATTCAGTTTAACACATCCAAAGGACATTTACTTGGTAAGGGTGGCATGGGTTACACACATGTGCACAACCTGACCTGTGTGGAAAATGGAAGCAGTGTTTACCCCAAGGTAAGTACAGAAGCTATTGATTAAAGATTTGACTCAGATCTACCCAAGCCAATTAGTATGTAGCTTATAAGAGCCATAAAGCTGTTCTATTTTTGAACAATGACTGGTTTTCCTGACAGTGCCCATTGGTTGCCACATCCCATCCTGAGTTAAAGTCTGTGTTAACTAGCTGGATTCCTGCCTGTCCTGAAAATGGATTGAGGACTCTTTAGGGAGGCCAGAATCATGGATGGTAAAAGCATTGAGATGTGGTCTGTGCTTAGGATGCTCAGGTTCTGGTAAGGGAGTCAGACACATAAACAGATACTCACTATATAATGTGTCAAGTTTGTAACAGAGGTGCTGAAAAACTGGAATGGGAACATAGAGAACATAGAGGGCAGAGGATGTCTTGAGGTTTCCTGAGGTTTGAATTGGAACACGCATGGTTTGTAAAATTTACTTGTATTCAAAAGTTGGGCATGCACTACAGCCTACTAAGCACATAGGTATGTTTTATCAAGTGGCCAGCCTTGTTCTTGAAGATGAACTTTGGGAAGACAGTGTGTCAGAAGGCTGTGAGACAGGTTACAAAGTTGAGGGTCAGATATTTGTCTCTTGTAGGCAGCACTGAAAATGTTCCTTGCAATACTGCTCTGGAAGCAGTGGGGAGCCACAGTGGTCTTAGAGCAGGGGAGTTAATCCATAATCAAAGTTGTGGCTAAAGTAGCATCGTTGATGGGATGAGCAGGGTGTTGGTGGAGGAGCTCTGGGAAAGAGTTGATCAGAAATCTTTCCTTCTAGTTCAGGGGAGCCATGATGCTCACTTTGGCATGCCCGGGACATTAGATTCAGTGTTTATTTCAGGGCCTTTAAAAGAGTGATTCCTAAAGTTGATTTAAAGACATACTATTAGTTTGTATTTTTTTTTATTTATTTATTTTTTTAACTTTTATTTAATGAATATAAATTTCCAAAGTACGACTTATGGATTACAATGGCTTCCCCCCCATACCGTCCTTCCCACCCACAACCCTCCCCTTTCCCACTCCCTCTCCCCTTCCATTCACATCAAGATTCATTTTCGATTATCTTAATATACAGAAGATCAGCTTAGTATACATTAAGTATGGATTTCAACAGTTTGCTCCCACACAGAAACATAAAGTGAAAAATAATAGATGATTTTTTTTTAAATGATGATGAAATCAGAGCAGACCTATTGTCATGTTTAATCCCAGTGAGAGTCAAGTTGGGAATTGATAATTTCTTTTTTTTTTTTTTAACAGAGGATCAGTTTAGTATGCATTAAGTAAGGATTTCAACAGTTTGCACCCCCATAGAAACACAAAGTGAAATATACTGTTTGAGTACTCGTTATAGCATTAAATCTCAATGCACAGCACATTAAGGATAGAGATCCTACATGAGGAGTAAGTGCACAGTGACTCCTGTTGTTGACTTTACCAATTGACACTCCTGTCTATGGCATCAGTAATCTCCCTATGCTCCAGTCATGAGTTTCCAAGGCTATGGAAGCCCTCTGAATTCTCCGACTCTTATCTTGTTTAGACAAGGTCATAGTCAAAGTGGAGGTTCTCTCCTCCCTTCAGAGAAAGGTACCTCCTTCTTTG